CCCTATATTCTCTGAGGCCCAGAGCGAGTTCTTCTTCCACATTTCTTCCATATGTGTGGCTCTCTGCATGACTCCACACATGAAGAAGGAATGGATAGGCTATGGAGGGATTAGATTTAGAGAAACTCAGTTTAGCATGCCAGCCTTCTGGCAACTAGTCCTCTTTCTTCATCGGGGCTTACCCTCTCCCCTATTGCAAATGGAAACTCCACAGGGTCAGGGTCATGGCTGTTTTGTTTATACTATGTGCTGACTGTTGAGCCTGGTATTTAGTAGGTTCTATGTGTGTGTGTGTGTGTGAGTGAGTGTGTGTGTGTGTCTAGGGGAGGGAAGAGGGGTGGAGGAGAAGAGAGAATAAATAAAATTTCACCAGGTGAAACACAGAAAAGAAAAACAGGCAAAAGGCTTGCCATCTAGGCAGCAATATTTGTTCCCTGTTGCCCCAGGCATGATGCTGACAACTCCTGGAGGTGTCTTAAGGTCCACACACAAAACCACATGCTGGTACTCCTCAGGAGGGCACTGAGGTATTTTTCTGCAGTCTGTTGATAGATTTGACAACTGCAACAAGCATCTGAATCCCCACCCCCTGGATTAAAAGCAGCATATGAGGGCTATGATAGATGGCATTTGTGGACATGTGACAGCAATAAGTAGTGACATTCTCAGAAGGAAAGACATAAAACATACATAACAGGAAAAACAATATTATTATTTAAGCATCTGCTTGTGTTGTGTGTGTGTGTGTTTCCAGTTTTTCCTTTTCTTTATATACGAGATTATTAGTGAAGGAGTAAAAAGAATAGACCAAGATAAAGGTAACTGAGATAAACATTGCCCAGACTCTATTTTGTATGTAAGCAATTTTTCTTTGGTGGGAGGTTGCTGGGAATTGAATCCAGGGCCCAATGCATACTAGATAAATACCCTATCACTGAGCTAAAGCCCCAATCCCTAACCAGGCTCTATTTGAAAGGAGTTTGTGGTATTTTGAGAGTGGGTAAAGAAGTTGCAAGAAAGTTTTCCTGAGGTGGTGAATGCATTTCTCCTTTACATTTTGAAAGCCTTTTTATTTTTGATATAATTATAAATTCACATAATTTTGAGGACAGAGTACCAAAGAGTTCCCTATTCCCTCTGTTTTTCATTTTTGTCTGTTTGAAAGATGATTCTAGAGGGTTACATTGTTTGGATATTAGATTAGAGTTTTCTCTGACTGTAAAACTTTGCTGACTGGCTACATAAAGGTTCACGTTCTTCATAAATCATATAAAAAGAAGATATATTAATCTTTAAATGTCAGCCTAAACATATTTAATATGCACAAAGCAAGAAAAAAAACAGATTCTGAGAAAATCTGTGTACTTCCAGTAATGATTGATATTAATTATTGTGATCATAAATCACAATTTATGATTTATGTTTAAGGAGGCAAAAAATTATAAATCTATGGAATCTATAGCTAAAATCTAGAAATAACCCAAATGTCCCTCAATAGAGAATCCATTACATAAGTTATAGTTCATTTATTCAGGTGGGATTCTAAGTACATATTAAAAGTAGTATATATACATATATGACATATGTACATATATACATACATATCTGTTTATATATACATTTATATGTGTGTGTATATGTATGTGTATATATATATATATATACACATATATATGTAATTGTTTTAATGTGTTTATATTCATGGGAAATTCTGAGGCATGGTATTTGATTTTTTAAAATACCATAAAATCACATAAATACATGCAGTGCTATATTAAAGCCTTAAAAAGGCTTTTTATGTGATTCACCCAGTACCTCCATGTTGCCAAATCCAATGGACATTTTTTTAAAATCATTTTAGTTGCTTCAGAGTAACAAGTAATATAGTTAATCACTCATTTTTCTTCAAATGGATTCTACTTTTGCTTTCTGTGACTCAAAATTCTCTTGAGTTTTCCTCCTGGTTCTTACAGATCCTTCTCTTCTCTTTCACCTCTCTGAGCTCTGTGAATGGAGTGCTCTGTGGCCTGGTGTTGAATTCTTTATCTTTGTCATTACTTTCTCACCAGGTGATCTCCTAGGGCCTCTTGGCTTTAGATAGCATTCAAATGCTAATCACTTGAAATTTATATCTCCAATGCTGCCTTCTGCTTGGTCTTTGGCTCTGGATTGCTAATTTGACATTGACCCTTGGATTTCTAGTAGATTTCCCAAACTTGAGATCTTCAAATGTCTCAAGTCATATTCAGACCTGTTGCCCTCCAAAACCTCTTTCCCCATTCCAAACATCCCTACACAAACTGGCTCTTGCCAATCTTTATGTCTTCTATATCTGAATCAACATTCTCCAATTTTGCTCTGGTCTAATCTCTTTGTCCTTCTTTTTAGTTCTTAGATATATCAAGTTCATCCTTAATTCAGGATGGTATTTGTTCTTCCCTCTTCCTAGAATGTTATTGCGATGTTCACATCTGTGATTCCTTTTTGACATTTAGATTTCAATTTCAAGAGGACTTTTCTGATCACGAAAGTTATCTTTGTCCCTTAGTAGCTCTCCACTCTGTTTTATTTTATTCTTCATATATATTTTATCATTTATTTCACCACTGGAATACCATCCCAATGAGAGCAGGGAACCTGTTTATACCATTAATAATTTTAGTCAAAATACCTTGGAAGAGATCTGGGAACATAATTAAATGTTCAATTAATATTTATGTTAAATAGTGGACTGTGGTTATAGCTCAGGATGTATGAGTTTGATCCCCAATACTGAAAAAAAAAAGTTAAAATTTGGAAAGATATATGTCAAACAGTTTACAGTGATTACTTCTGACTGGGAATAGTATGAGGTAAATTGTAAATGGATATTTACTTTCTACCAAGATACATTTCAGTTAATTTTAAATTATTTAAATTAAAACACATTACTAAATGACTAGAAAAATTAATACACACTTTGGTTATGAATAATGATAAAGTTTGAAGCTGTGTTTATTGGGAAGGTGCATTTATGTGGAACGCTTCTTTCCTGATGATGTTAGGTGAGTAACATGTTTCAATCTGTGTTAAATATCTACGAGTTTGTAAAAGCACTGAAACATGAAGCAAGAAAAGTGTCCACCCAGTTCTTTCCTTTGAACTTATTTGCTGCATCTTTCTGGAAAATCATTTAAATTAATTTCTTCCTCAGAAGTTAACAAATCAAATCACTTACTTGATAAATACCTTATGCTTGTTTTTCTTCAAATTATATTTTACAACTTAATTAGATTTGTTCTACTTGAATAGGTTTGATCTTTTTATAGAAATATCAAATTTGTAACCTTAGCTCTTGTCCCCAGGTCCTAATGTTAAGTCAACATCTGTTTGAAAGACCTTCAGCTTATCAAGTATTGCAGGTCTCTGATTGTTTTGGAACCTCTTCTGACACTATGGACTTAGTTCAAAGGTTAGTTAATACCCCCCTCTTTTTTCTTTTTTCTAATACGATGAACAAATGATTGATTGTTTGCTTTGGTCATACAAGTTTAAGTTATTGGGTATAAAAAGAATAGTTTGAGTCTCTGTTCAGGGACCTCCTTATCTCTCAAATCATAGATTCTCCTTCTTTGGAGATTTTCATTAGGTTTGCAAAATGATAACCATATTTTTGATATGGGGAATTGTTTTAACAATGTGCTGTTATTTATGGCTTATTTTTGGAATAAGGAGAAGGTAAGGAAAGTTTTTTTGTTCTTTAAGTTATCTTTTAGTTCATTTATCTGATGTTCTTTTACTATACAATAAATTATTATACAATATAATAAATTTGATTTTCTATACACAAATACTTCTTGATATTTTCACATTAAAATTTTAAGTGATATCTTTTTTTTTTTACTAAATCTAACAAAATACATTATAACAGTTTCCCTTTTTAGTATTGACACATACCAGTGGTAATATATATACTTTGTTAAACACAACTGAAAGAAAATTTGTAAGATCTTTGTGTGTGTTCAGGTGTACATGTACAGAGCAAGCCCAAGGGATACCAGTGGCATTTGGAAATCTGCAATGGAAAGGGTTTCTTTCTATCGCAAGGATTAGACAGGGACTCTGACTAAATAAGTGTTGTCTTTTCAGCTAGTTTTTGTGCACAGACTCAGCCAAAGCCTGGGCAAGAACGTAGAGCCCTAGTTAATCATTCTATTACTCTTTTTTTTTTTTTTATGTCAATCAACCATGGTGATTGGGAAACTGTTAAATGTGTATATAACATACTTCATTTGTATGTTATCACTGACTTACAATTGATTCAAGAAATATAAATCCAGAGCCATATTTAACTTCTGAATGGTTCAAAGAGTAGTTAGGGGGAAGGCACGTAGATATTTTCTATTAAGTCAATCTCAAAACGAGAATAACCTCCAGCAGATCTTCAGCTCTGTGGACTGTTATGTGTTGTCTACCTTCTGCAAGTTTCTTCATTCTTTGAGGTACTTTAATGCAGTCCTGTTCATTTCCAGTTTCAATCAGATTACTCACCTTCACAATAAGAAAATGCCACTTCATATTTTGTTATCCTCTGAAGGACATTAGTTTATGCTGGAAGACAATAAGTTTACATTTTCTAGTAAAAACATTTAAGATAGCATGACAGAGCATTGCATTATAGTTAATGATCCTATAATGACAAATGACAAATTAGATGGATGACTTTAGTAATCATTTTCAACAATGTATCATGTGGTGACTAGGTTAATAAAATGTTCTATTTTAGTAAAAGAGCAGGGCCCATCAACAAAAGAAGTACCTATAAACTGCAGAATTTTGAAATTCAGAGATAGAATTTTGAAATTCAGAGATAGAATTTTGAAATTTCAGAGGTAGAAATTTGAAAACCTGGCATATAAAAGTAACCAAAATATGTAATTTTCCATATCTGTCATACATTTGTGTCTTTCAGGAGAATGGGTGAACCACCTCTGGAGAATGGGTTGATTCCATACCTAGGCTGTGCTCTGAAATTTGGGGCCAATCCTCTTGAGTTCCTCAGGGCAAATCAAAGGAAACATGGACATGTTTTTACCTGTAAACTAATGGGAAAATATGTCCACTTCATTACCAATTCCTTGTCATACCATAAGGTGTTGTGCCATGGAAAGTATTTTGATTGGAAAAAGTTTCACTTTACTACTTCTGCAAAGGTAACCTATTTTGCATTTATACAGCATTCTGTTTATTTCCTATTTATTAATATATACGCCTATTTAGTAAGTTGTTTTTAGATTGCTGGATAGAAGTGTTAGAGAATTACCCTATTGTAGAGATTATTAGAAAAAAATACATCAAATTAGTTACAGCCTCTTAGTATTACCTATTAAAAAAATCAAACTAGATATATATTTGACATTTGTTAACCAGATACTGAAAATGAAATAATAATTAAATGTTTTACTGAGGCAGATGGCACTGTTTCAATAAGACAGGTACAAACTCATCACATCAGTGATGTCTATATAACATGAAGAATACATGTGATGGAAAACTTCACATCCAACAGTTGCTTTGCCATATTCACACCACACATTCCATTTTGTTAAGAAACTCAACAGATATTTAAGCATCATTTAGATGTTATCTAAGAAAGTGTTTTAGAGGAAAAAAAAATCAATACTTACTGAGTTTCTGCAAGAGATATTAGACAGTCTTTGCCACTAAGTAGCTGGAGGTGTGATTAACCTGCATCTACAAAGATATAACAAAGAATGAATAATAGAAATAATATTGATTAGTATCAAATTAGCGAGCAAATAAGTTCAGTAACAAGAAATAGATGACTGAGGTGGTCTGGAGTACTCTCACTGAAAAACTGAGATTTAAACTTAGCCTTAAAAGGAAAAATATGATTTAGTCATTTCTTTGCAAAGTACTATCAAATTGTATTTGAGGAGGTCAAGTAGAGAAGTATGAAAGCATCCAATGTATTTCTAAGTCATTCACTAACACGTGGTGAGTTTTCGTTAATTTTTTTCACGTTTTATTTCTTGTCAGGCTTTTGGGCACAGAAGCATTGATCCAAGTGATGGAAATACCACTGAAAACATAAACGACACTTTCATCAAAACCCTGCAGGGTCATGCCTTGAATTCCCTCACAGAAACCATGATGGAAAACCTCCAACTTATCCTGAGACCTCCATTCCTTCTTAAATCAAAGAGCAGTGCATGGGTGACAGAAGGGATGTACTCCTTCTGCTACCGAGTAATGTTTGAAGCTGGGTATTTAACTCTGTTTGGCAGAGATCTTACAAGTCAAGATGCACAAAGTGCCCTTATTCTAAAAAACCTTGACAACTTCAAGCAATTTGACAAAGTCTTTCCAGCCCTGGCAGCAGGCCTCCCCATTCATGTGTTCAAGACGGCTTACCAAGCCCGGGAAAAACTGGCCGAGGGCTTGAGGCACGAGAACCTTCACAAGAGGGACCAGGTCTCAGAACTGATCCGCCTGCGCATGTTTTTGAATGACACACTCTCCACCTTTGATGACCTGGAGAAGGCCAAGACCCACCTCGCCATCCTGTGGGCATCACAAGCAAACACCATTCCAGCGACTTTCTGGAGCTTATTTCAAATGATCAGGTGACTAGCCACTTACCTATTTATTTTCATATTCTGGTAGAAAGCCCAACTTCAACCATTTCACCTTTGGAGAAAAAGAAGCTTCATAGTACCTTCTCATGCCACCAATCAAGAATATAACTTATGCTTGTAAGTGTTTAACACATACAGGCTCATTCAATGCTCCCAAAAGCGTGAACAGCAATTTGTAGAAGCAGTTTCAAAGAAAGGGGATGTCACTGAAGCCACAGGCCTCAGGTTGGCTGGCCCTGGGTCAATTCAGGCCACTGGCCCAGAGTCCTTGCTTTTAATCCCACGCTGTTGCTCATGACATTAACTTTAAGTCCACAAGTGCAGTCTTCATCATCATAAGACTATATTTTAAATGATTACTGACTGACATGGCTACATCTTATTTTGCTGACTTATTATTTGACCATAATAAGTTCACATATTTACAGTAAGTTTACAATACCAGTTTAGTATCAATATATAGGTAATGATAACCATACTTTATCATCTTCACACAAATACTTTTCATTCAAACCTTTCTGAAACTCATTTCACTTTAACTATGTAACACAGAACCCCAAGCTCACTGAGGCTCCAACAAAATTCCATGCACTAAAGTGAAACAGGCTTCACTTCACATTCCAAAATTTTAATGTAAATGAAAATGCCGAAATTTTGAGGTAAATTCAAATTTTCATCTGGAATGCAGCCAAAACTCTGTAATTGTTATCTTAGAGGCAATTTTTCTTCTAAATTACTGTTTATTCCTTATTAAAATTATTTGTTTATAGAGAACTGACCCAAATTTACTCTGATGTAACAAGGCCCTTTTAAGGCACAATTCTTGCCAAGATCCTAGGGCATCAACATAATTATAAATACAGTACAAATAAATGGGAGTATTCCTTTTCTACCGTCTCTGGTACCTTGATCACCTCAGTAAAAGAAGAGGAAAATGTCTATTTGCTTGCAGATCTCCAAGTATAAAAAATTTTATTTTCTCTGTGTTTTTATTTTATCTTAATTTTTAATAGGAATCCTGAAGCAAGGAAAGCAGCTACTGAAGAAGTGAATAAAGCACTGGAGAAGGCTGGTCAAAAAATCAGTTTTGAAGGCGATCCTATTTATTTGGATCAAATGCAACTAAATGACCTGCCAGTCCTAGGTGTGCTTGCTACTCTACATTCCTTCTACTGTGTCCTAACAGTCGACATATATCAGGCCCTTAAATGAATTCTAGACATTATGCTAAATAATTTTATATGATTTGGCTCTTTTAATCCTCATCACTATCCTATAACTAGACATTATTGCTATTTCTATAAACCAAGAGAGGAAACTGACATCTAGAGGATGAGCCCGGTGAGGGTGGAATGTGGGGAGCTTTGCATGGCAGCACTAATGGGTGACTGTTGGTAGCATACTCTCAATCACCACCCTATAATCCTGTAGCTCTCATTATTCCTTTTACCGCTAATCTTACAGTTAGAGCAATCGTGTCACTCCTTTGCATGAAATAACAGGGGACAAAGTGCCTTCAAAAAAAAACCATAATTAACTAGATGGGTTGATTGGTGGTGTTGAATGCTATTTGATTTTTCTTCTTTTTGTCCTTCTGTATTGTATAGAAATACAAAAGTGATATGTGTTTATAGTAAGAATGGTCTTTAAAAATGTTTTTCACTAAAGGAAAGAAACCAAGATATGCTTGAGGGGCAGTTTACCAGAAAGGAGAAGAAGAAAAGCTTAGGTTGACCTCTGCCCAACCTGGGAAGTTTAACATGTCATTTCTCTTTTGGGAGCCTTACTTTTCTCATTTGTAAAAAAAAAAAAAAAAAAAAAAAAAAAAAGAGTTGATCTTGTGTGATTTTATACATAGTCATGTGATGAACCCCTACAACATGACAGTGAGGGAACTGGAGGCCAGGCTGGACTTTTCCTGAGAACTCTGTATTTTAGCTATTCTGTGTGTCCCTTTTATGCCTTTGCCCAGCAACAGAGCATCACCATACACTATCAAATAGTTTATGGATAAAAAAAGAATTCTTGTAACCTGATTAATATGGCAAGAAACACCTGGAAAAACATTTCTATGTAAAAAAATATTATCAGTCTCTTAAATCTCAAAAGTGGAAAACTTTGAATAATTCATATAAAATTGGTTATTAATTTTCCCAATTGTATTATCTGTTAAGTGTCACAGAAAAACAAGATTACTTTTCTTAAAAATGATAGAAATGTAGTCCCACTAATGACCAAGAAAGTTGTATCTTTGTAAAAAATTAACTTGGGTGATCGGATCAAAAATATATTCAGACACAAGTGAGTCATTGATAACAGCCTAGTAGAGACAGAAAGAGAGTGTGGGAAGTTTTTCTCTGGTCAGCCTTCCATGTTTTGTTCATTTTCATGTTGTTGGATGTCAGAAGTGTTTCAAACTCTGCATTATATGGGTTTCAAATACTCAAATGGTTCTCTTTTTCATTCTCCTTTTGTCCCTTTCTTTCTTTTAAAATATTTAGATAGCATCATCAAAGAAGCTCTGAGGCTTTCCAGTGCCTCCCTGAACATTCGGACAGCTAAGGAGGATTTCACTTTGCACCTGGAGGAAGGTTCCTATAACATCAGAAAAGATGACATCATAGCTCTTTACCCACAATTAATGCATTTAGATCCAGAAATCTACCCAGATCCTTTGGTAAGTGACTGTTCATCAAAGTTCAGTATCAAAGGTAGCTATCCTATCTAAATAGGAAGGGCATTTACAATTTGATCATAGGGATTATCCCCTTAATTACATTAAATAGTCATATTTTGGAAAATCTGGATAGTAGCGTAGATTCCTGATTTTTTTCCCAGATATTTGTTACCCCACACTGTATGCTAGACTGTATTTGCAGTAATGATAATAAAGCTGGCTCCTTTCTTTTTTCTTAAAATGTGCTTCCTCCTAAATCCACAAAATTAGAGGTTAATGTGTGTGTGTGTATGTGTGTATGTTTGTGTGTGTGTGTGTGTGTGTGTGTGTATATATATATATATATATATATATATATATATATATTCCCCCCCCATTTGAAAGCTTCTTGCTGGTTCTGCCTGACGGAGGAGCTAGTCCCCAGGGAGGACTCAAGGTACCATAAAGCTTTCTTGGTCCATCAGTTCTCATTAAGTTCCTGTCCCTTATTACTCTCAGTGAGTAGGGTATTTGCTAAATCACTAATGGATTGAATTAATAAAGAAAATTACTCTTTGGAGCTTCCAGGTCAAGAAAGAGATATGTTTATAAGTGCTATGTGTTTATGTGCTTGCTTGCTTTGTATTTTTATTGCAGACTTTTAAATATGATCGATATCTTGATGAAAATCGGAAGACAAAGACCACCTTCTACAGCAATGGTGTCAAGTTAAAGTATTACTACATGCCCTTTGGATCAGGAGCTACAATATGCCCTGGAAGATTATTTGCTGTCCAAGAAATCAAGCAATTTCTGATTCTGATGCTTTTATATTTTGAAATAGAGCTTGTGGAGAGCCATGTTAAATGTCCCCCTTTGGACCAGTCCCGTGCAGGCCTTGGTATTTTACCACCATTAAATGATATTGAGTTTAAATATAAACTTAAATATTTGTGAATATGTGGTCAGGAAAAGAGTACATTAGATGATGTTATAGGACTGCCGAGCACTGTCATTGAAAAGACCTTTTGGACAAAAACATTTAAGGATGATGGAAGTTGTTTAGCATGTCCAGTCTGGTTCCAGATGCCATCTCAGACAGTTGCTAGTGAAAAGTCTAGAAGCACAATAAGATTTTCTCACTTGGATAAATCAATGGATGTTCATAAAGCTGGGGACTGAATTTCATTACCTTCAGAGGAAAATACTTTTTTTTTCTCAAAATGATGATATTTTAATTGGCAGAATTTTTTCCTAAGGAAATTGCTTCATTTTTAAAAAAACCACTCACTAATTATGAAAAAAAAGAGTCATATTCACGTTTTAGTGAAATGGCATTATTTTTTTACTAGATAGGTTCTTCAGGTGTGAGCATATAATATAAAGCGTACTTTAAATAATTATATCATGCTTTTTAATAAAAAAGGAATTTTTTTCAGCTTTCTGTATGTCCAGCATATCTCTACATTCAGGATTTTTGAAATGATGATATTGGTGTCCTGTAAACACTAAGGGTAGTTTTGATATTTTTCCTTTATGTTTTAACTTATTGTTAGTGGAAACTGTTATGCCAAGTTTCAACTCTCTTCTCTGCACCTTTATTTGATTCCATATGAATGAGAAGAATCATTTTCAGAGATTAAAAAGGCACTTTTTCTGTTATTACTAGATATGTGTCAGTGAAAAGGATGAAGCTCCTATGTGATACATTTAAAAAATGAAAAATGGATGGAAATCACCATTTTAAAGCTTTGACTATGAAACATGCAGAGTTCATTAAGTGAAGTTTGACATTATGCTTTACATACTTTTTATCTCATAAGGACCTGCAGTTGAGAAATTTAAGGCCTATGATAGTGTTTAAATATACTGTGTACATTAACACTTTGGTAAGCTATTTTAACTGTTAAAGGTAACAGTTATGCCATTTTATTGATATTTCCATATATATTTATATGTAAATTATATTTATCTTTACTTTCACTATGAATATTAAGAAAATATTGTAACATTTGGTGATTTTGAATTATTCATCTTTCCGAAATAAAAATATGAATGTGTATGTTTTAAATTTTGAAGTATTCAGAATGTTTAAAACATCTACTAGTAAGCTACAAAATTTATATTTCAGAAATCATTCAAAATATTTGTTTTCAAGTATTTAAAAAATAGTCAAAGTAATAATCTATGCAAAAATCTTCCTCATTCTACATAAAATTCATTAAAAATTTTTTGTGTGTGTCATGATGAGGTTTGAAGCTAGGGCCTCATACATGCTAGGCAAGCATTCTATCACTGAACTGCATTCCCAGCTTTCACTAAAAAAGTTTTAGTCCTGTTATTTAATATTACTACAGAATTATTTCTTTAATAAATTATTTTTTATACCAATAAAAGTACATTTGTTTAGACGGGGTTCAAGATTAACACAATTCTGTTTTATAAAAAACTGTTTTAAACAGTATTTTGAATGTGGTTTCCTATTACATTTAATGACTTTTTGAATACATGAATTGTCTTTCCACACATTTATTCTTATGCAATAGGGTTGGCCATTGATAGCCCACAGACCA